GGCCTGGACGGCGGAGCCCGCGGTGAGGGCGAGGAGGAGGAAAGAAAGTCTCATGATGATCGTGAGTCGTGAGAGAAAGAGAGGAAGGCAAGCTTTGGGTCCTCCATCCCGCCGCCGCGAGTCTATATAGCGAGACGCAAGCCGTCGTGGCTTAGCTCCGCTCTCCTCAATGACGCACCGCGAAACATGCTTGACGTCCAACACCAACTCTTTCCTCAGCGCTTCAGCGCCTGCACGCTTGATTGATCCACCGTAGCCGCCCATGATGTTAGCCTGCGCGCGACCCAGCTTTCCCGACTCAACGTTTCACGAGACAGGTTCAAAGAGACAGCCAGAAACGATTCCATTGAAATCTAGGCACGTGCTACTAGTACAAGCAGGTAACTACGCAACGCCACCCACCTTGAAGAATGGGCAACGCATAACCCCGCTCGCACCAACCATCACCTGTGAAGGCGTACCGATGTCAGCGAGTAATGGTGAAGATACATACCTGATTGCTCGAGCCGGAATGATTCGCTGCTGCAGACGTGTTCAGTCCACGAGAAGGCGGTCGCTGCGTACGCTATCCATCAGCGTCGTGTTGGTACAGTATGAGAAGGATGAAACATACCAGTCGGAGACTCAGCCTTGCAATGCGCCACGCGCACTCCACACGATCCGAGCCACCCGTCCCCGACGGATGACTGTACCGGAAAGGCGTTGACTCCCACCTCTCTACCCTGCGTCCCCCGTGATCGGCGAGACGACTAACGGATATCGGCGAGAGCCCGAGCGCGACGCGACGCGAACGTCGGATGCCACCAGGTGGGCTTACACGCGACGGATCGGCTGATGCTGAGCGCATATAGCGACTGATATGGGGCGAGGTTAGCGAGCGGAAGTGGCGTAGGTAGGAACAGACGGCGTACGCATTGTGGCGGCCAGCCATGCGGAAGGGCGACATGCGCGGTCAGGGTGTGGTGTGGTAGTACTGCGATGTCGAGATCGAGCCTGTGAAGACTCGATCTATGAGTCGACGCTGAAGATGTGGCTCAGGTCAGCACTGAGGACGGAATAGCGTGAGCGGCAATACATACCTTTGGAGCGTCGGGACACCGTCAAAGACAGCTTTGATTGGGCACGAGGTCAGAGAAGGTCAAGAAAGCAATGGCGGGTCACGTACGAAGCCATGTTGAGGTGTCCGCCACAGCCCGTCGTCGAACGATAGAATCCGACATTGGGCCGAGGTGTGAACCCGTCGTCACCCTCAACGCTCAACTCGAGTCCCCGACAGGAGGGTACACCATAACCAGTTCAGTTACGAGTGCAGCACCTGGATGTTGCAGCCCGAGAGAGAAGAAGGGAGAGGACATGGTGGTAGTGAGGAGAGAGCAGACGAAGACGAGGAGGGCTTATATACTTGGGAGGCTGACAGCCGCTCTTCACCAGTCTTTGGCGGCCGAACAAGGATCCGTCCATACTCGGCACATATGGAGGCTGTCCTATCTTGCTTTTCTGAGGATAGCCTCAACGCCGGCGGTCAGATTGGTATCGATTACTGCTCCGAGCTGGTAGGGTAGGGGAGAAACAAGGAACCGGGCGCTGATTGTGTCGGAGGCTGCAAGGCGGGAACGATCACTCATTGGACGCGCCCGGTACCCACAAGAACGTGCACAGATCAATTGTTTGTAAGAATACCCGCAACGGAAGCAAGCTGCATTACTCGGAACTCTACTCCTACACATACATGTCGCTATAGCGAAGTCGTGTCATGTCATGTTGTCGTCACGAAATCCGTACTACAAGGGGTTGGTTGTTCACTACTGAACGCCGGAACGTGATGAACGACGGTCCGGCGTCCTTTCCATTCGTCACCTGTTCGTCGTCTGCTCATGCGAAAGAGTTGCCCTTTACAGTAGATATCCAGGCGGTGTTGCTGTTCGGGAACTACAATGGACGTTAGACTTCCGAATCCTGTGTATCCCAAAAAAGCGCACCTGGAACGACATGACACCGGCTTTCCAGCCCTGAGAGACGGCCTGTTGGATGCAGGTGCCAAGGGTGGTGGGATCAATCAAGCCACCCGTGGGCCTCTGCTTCTCAGATACATCGTCCACACCTCCAGGCTTTCCGATAACGAGCTTGTTGATGTCAACACCGGACTTCTGAATCTCGAACACCGCCGAGCCACCTGCACTATTGAGCAGGGTGTTGCAGTCATCGTAGCCAGGGGAAGGGGACTCTGTATGTGCATGGACCCATCAGCGTGAACATCTCGCCGATCACGGTGCTATACAAAGATACGCACGGTTGTAGAATTGAATGTTGTACTGAACGGTAGCATGCCAACTGATATCAGCGAGCACATTACCAGCCACGACTAACCAATGCACGCACCCAGTCAATCAAGCTACCCACAGTCTTGTCCACGGTGAGGTAGCATCCCCCCGGGCAGAAACTCGCCTGAGGCTGGAACCACGGCCCGACAGGTGCATGCGTGAGGATGAACTGGCCCTGCGGGAGCTGCGAGCGGAGCGTCTGCGTGAACGTCGCGAGCCACTGCTCCCCCACGCCGGGCGACTGCGTCACGAGGGCAATCTCCTCCCAGTCGACGTCGATGCCGTCGAGGTCCGTGTTCAGCACGAATTGCGACATCTGGTTCGCAAGCGCGGTCGGGTCGAGTCCGTTGGTCGTCGGGAGCTCCGTCTGCCCGAACGCCGAGACGACGACTGAGACGCCTGCGGCGTTGTACTTCTGCTTGATCCCCTGCCGCGTAGTCGCGTCAAGGCTGGCCCAGTTCAGCACTTGGTCATGCGGGCCATCCGAGAGCAGGAACGCTAGGTTCCTAGAAGAGAGCAAAAGTCACGGTGGTCAGTGGTTGATGTCTCGGTTCGCGAGCGGCGGATCGGCTTACACCACGTTAAAGCCCTGGATCTGGTCCAGAGGCGGAAGCACCTCCGGGTTTCCAGTCGACTTGTCCGTGTAGACCACAAACTTCGGGCCGCTTGGGATGGGTGCAGGGGCGCGCGGCGCATGGGGAAGGGGAGATGCAAAGACGACGGCCGTGAAGGTAAGGGCGGAGCAGAGAGCGGAAAGACGAGAGAATGACGAAGTGAACATCTTGAATACGAACAAAGAAAGAAAACCCTAAACCAGAGGGTGGAGTAGTACGAAAGAAATCGTGAAGAAAGAAGAGTAGGAGAAGAGGAAATGAAGCCGCTAGCGGGGTGAGGATCTGCCATCCTCCTGGGCAGTTTTTATACGTCGAGTGCGTCCGAAAACCTGAGAGGGCCATCATGCGGCGATTTAGAGTCCCTTCAACCTATGTCGATACGGTATCAGGCCGCCCGCCGGCACTCAACGACCCAGAGCGCAATTGCAGAGTGTGACAGGACATGAGAGCGCGACCTATCAGGATGGACCACCTATGGGCAGTAGATGACAACTTCGTTCAGCTATGAAATAATCGGAGACGATCGGAACTCACCGCCATGATTGGTGAAGGAACGTTGAGCCCGATAATTTGGTTCGCATCTTCCTTGACTACGCATTGCGAGTAGAAAAGCGGTCAGGTGATATGCTCGAGGACAAACTACACTGGGCTTCCATATTCCAGCCAGAGCAGCACACAGTCGGCATCACACCGAGCGCTGGCTGAAACGCCTTTGATGTCAAATCATTGCGGAAGGCGTGTTTCCTGATCAGTCGAAGGGCATTGGCATTTGCGCTCACTGCGTTGTTCGGCGGCGACTGTCGGGTCGGACTCGCTGTACTCCGGTGTCGTTTGTTATAAAGAACGTGACAACTGAGAGGTGCATCAGGTCCTGGATGGCAGCATCGTGTGGAGCGGTATGGACACAGCCCTTCTGCCGTTGATGCGATACACACCTGCAATCATGTATCTTAAGAAAGAGCAAGCCTAGAACGGCGAGAGATACCCAGCTACCCCACCCTGAGGAACCTGTCATCCTAGAGTTTGATCACCATATGCCTGAAGTCCTCGACAGCTGAACCTATCATGGTTCAAGCAAAGGAGTCTCCCTTTACGGCAGGACTCAAGCCGTATCTGCTTCAGAGAACTATTCGTAACCACCACCCGGTACTCCATCAGCGCGCACTCTGTATGTCAAAATTCGGCATCACGTACCTGTAAGGACATCACGCCTATTGAATGCACGTCCCCAACGTCTCGGGATCGATTGGGTTTGCCAATGACGAGCTTCTTGATGGCCGACGCCGGACTTCGCGACTCCGAAGATGGCCGCGCAGTCTGCACTGTTCAGAGCGTGTCGCGGTACTCGACTGGTCCAGGAATCATAGCAGTAAGTTGAAATCAGGCCTGAGTGCGTCTGGAGACGGTCGTTGACGGATGACGGAGCGCACATACAGTTGGATCATATCTCACCCAGTCAATCGGACAGTAGACTGAGGTAACAGCCGACAGTCTGACAAAGGGGTTGGAACCATGGACTGATCGGCGCATCGGTGAGGATGAGATGTCCTTTTGGAAGCCAGTTACGCAGGTTCTAGGTGAACGTTGCCAGGCACTGCTCGCCCACGTTGGGCTTCACCGTCACGATCCAGTAAAGTAAAACTCTTCCCGGCTGACGTCGAGTCGTCCTTGAAGTCAGTGGCAAGAAGAACTGTGACAAGAGCGCCATCGGCTTGCAAATGCGGCAGTGATGTCCAGACCCTGTAGTCGTTGGCTGCTCCGATGGAGGTGATGTCGAGTGGGCTGCGGTCACACGGCGTTCTGGCTGCAATGTCGTCTCTCGATAATCCTCATTTTCATACGTATGAGTACAGAAAGCTGCATCGTTCATATCAGCCTCATCGCAACCCTACGAGATGTATCTTCACTCACATTGTGAGAATGCCATAATCTGAAGGGAACGAGGATGATCGAAGATAAGTACGGGTTCACGTTCGAACGAGTCTTAGCTTTCGGAATCGTTGGGACGAGACATCCCAATGGGTGTAGGTTTTGCTATATATTATCGAGAGTACTACGTCATCAAGAACCCTTGGCGCAGCGGTAGCGCGTGAGATTCCAGCTTCAGGTGGTTCCTCAAGGTCATCCGTTCAAATCGGGTAGGGTTCACTCTTTTGTAACATTTTCCCCTGGCGTTGTAAAGTGCAAACCTGTTGATAGTGTCGTGATTATGCATTTTGCATGCGTGCAGGAGACAAGTTGAATGCAATTGCGATCGGCGCTAGCGTAGGCTACCTGGGTCCAGCAGGGACGTCCCCATCTGAAGTCTTGATGCCCAGCTATCTCAACATACAGCAGCCACCCTTGACCGTAGGGGAAACTCGTCCATGTTTATGAGTGCAACTTAACTCGAAACGTTGTTCTTTGCATCTAGGACGAACAGGGGGTGGATGACGAATGGTGTTCTATATCTTAGCCTGTACTTTGTACCTGCCTCACCCAACCCTATTCCAGCTCGGGAGTTTGCAAGCACGGTGACACGCGTATTAGGGGCATCTTGCCCGAGCCATAGATTAGCAAAGAATCAATATACATTCGTGAGCCTCGTATCGACAACTGAACAAAGTTTGATCGTGTCCGACGTTGCGAGGAAGTGCCAAAGATCCATGATATGCCGATGGTGCATGCTGGGTAACGGGTTATTCAGTCTTTGCGCTTGTCGGAGATGCTGCCGGTCTTCTGGTTGTACTCGGTGGCGAGGCGGTCATACTCCTTGGCGTTCTGCTCGGCCTGCTTCTTGACGATGTCTTACGGAGCGCACAGGGTAGCATGTGAGTATGCAGGGCCGAAGGAAAACATGTTGAAAAACATACCGTAATCCTTCGCCTTGGCCTCTGCAGCCGCGAGCTTCTTCTTCAGCTCCTCGATTTCTTTAGTCTGGTCAGCACCCGCCGACTTCCCGGTCTAGCGCGCATGAACGTAAGACCCTGCTCGCATGTCAAGACAGGAGAGGACGCACCGAGTTCTTCAGCTTTGCATACTCCTCCTGGGTATGGATGAGGTCGAGGAGGATGTAGAACGTGCGGGTAAGGACAAGGGAAAGGAAGAGGCAGAATCCAGTGAGATACGTGTTCCGCTGTGCGCTGTAAATGACACATCAGAAGTGATCCTATAGCCGCGTTGGACCGAGACGCACTAGAATTTGCGCGCAGCTATGTTGGTCTCTCCGCGCACGTCTTGCGCCATTGTACCCGACGACTTGGCGAGGTCTACCTCTGCAGTAACTCTCCACATCCTCTGCACTGCGTCAACAAACAGAATGGCTACGAATCTGTCCTAGAAAGTGAGTCGCAGGCATAGGGACAACGAAAGAGGACGGACATGAAGGCTATCTTGACGCCATATGCGAGTTTTGCGATGGTGGGGCTCTGCGAGAAGAAGCGGAAGAGCTTCTTGCGGACTGTATGTGGGAGCGGGAACACGAGGACACAGAATGTGACCATCTCCGCCGCGAGGAGCATGAACGTGAGGGTATAGCTGGTTTGATGTTCAGCGTCGCCACACCCGACATGCGGGACAATAGGCACTTACTACACAGTCATGGTGAATCGGAGACTTGTATGAGAGAGGAAAAGCAACAAGGGGGGAGTTTAGAGAGGGATCGTGGTCGTTCGGAGAGAGGAGGGGATTAAGAGGCGTGCAGCCACGCCGCAGCTCGACGCGTACCAGACACGTCGCCCCTCATCACGACGTCATCGCCTGGCCCCGGCCCGCTCCGGCCAAGTTGCCTTTTGTGGCCAACGCAGATTTGTCATCACGATCTCTGTCTTTGCGCGTACGCGTACGCGTCAGGCTCAACTGGAGTGCAAAGCCACATACGCCTCTTGTCCTCATACTCTCACTTCTACCATCCGAATGGCTCCCATCACCGTCAAAATCAAGCACGCAGGCAAGGTGCAGGACGTGCAGCTCGACCCCGACCTCCCGCCCGCTGTTTTCAAGGATGCAGTCTACCAGATTACTGGCGTTCCGCCAGACCGCATGAAGGTCATGATCAAGGGCGGCATCCTGAAGGTGCGTGTTCTTCATCGTCAACCCTGTATATCACCTCAAGAATGCATTGTATGCGCGTATAGGATGACACAGATTGGCGGAAAGTTGCACCCAAAGCGGTTAGCAGCCCTTTGCATATCCTTGGGTGGCGGCGGAACTGATTGCTTGACCACGAACAGGGACAAACTTTCATGGTGATCGGAGCTGCGGGCGAGCTTCCAAAACCCCCGTCTACACCCATCCAATTCTTGGAAGGTACGTGTCTATATTCATTTACTCAAAATCCATTTCCTTGCCGTTCCATCCAAGCCTTCAGTGTGGCATATCGTCCAAACGTCACGTTCGTCTTTGCATGATGCGCGAGGCTGGTCGACCTTGATATGCGCCCTATGGCAACTCCAGCCGACCCGCGTCCTTCATGCTTCTTTGCTATCATGCTCTCCTCCGTATTGACGGCCGCTCATGAACGATCTCATAGACATGGATGATACCTCGCTAGCACAGGCCGTAAGTACAGTCCCAATGACTGATGTCAGCATGCGTCGTTCATGCTCGTTTCTAGCTCTCACTACCAGTTGGACTTGTGAACTTGGGCAACACCTGTTACATGAACGCGACGCTCCAAGCCATGCGCGCAATCCCTGAGCTTCAGACTGCTCTCGAACAGTGAGTATGACGCCTTCCTTCCTGACCAGCTCGCCCTTATACTTGTGGCATCGCCCTTGTAGTTCTGCACCTCCAGGGCTCCCTATGGCTCTGCGTAACCTGTATACGGACATGACCAAGACGACAGACAGTATTACTCCGTCCGCCTTCCTCGCAGCGCTTCGCCATGCATTCCCCCAGTTCGCTGAGCAGACGCGTGCAACTAGCATCAAGGCGCTCCTCGTAGGCGGCTACGCACAGCAAGGTTAGACCGTTCATCATGTCTACATCGCCGACTGACGTCTTTGGCAGATGCGGAAGAGTGCTGGGTGCAGATGACGAACGCGCTGAAGGAAGTGCAAGGTCTTCCGGGACCGTCATCAGGCTCAGCCAACGCCAAGTTTGTGGAGCATTTTATGACAGGCGAGCTCCGCAGAGTGTAGGTTGCCGTGGCTTCCGTCTATCATCTATAAACCTCTGACCTGACGTCTACAGGCTGAAGTGCGATGAGGCTCCGGAAGAGCCAGAGTCCGTCGCGATCGAGAAGGTGTTGAAGATCTCATGTAACATTTCCAATGCGGTCAACTACATGCAACAAGGCATCATGGAGGTGCGTCGTCGTCCGTCCCTGCGCGAAGTCAGTGCAGCACGCTGAAGGAGTGTACTACGCCAGGCTCTGGATGGAAAGATCGAGAAGCAGTCTCCGACCCTTGGACGCGAGGCCGTCTACAGCTCAACTCAGCGCCTCTCCCGTCTCCCGGCATATCTTACCGTCCACATGGTCCGTTTCGCGTGGAAGCGCGACATTGGAAAGAAAGCGAAGATCATGGTGCGTCCGGTTCCTGCGAATACTGTTCGAGTCGTCTCTGAAGCTGTTTCTCACAGCGGAGAGTGAAGTTCCCGACCGAGTACGACGCGCTCGACATCGCGACGGACGAACTCAAGGAGAAACTCTTGCCCGTCAGCCGCAAGCTGAAGGTGTTCGAGAAGGAGCGCGCCGAGCGCCGCAAGGTCCGCAAGCGGACCAAGGCGGCGCAACCCGCCAAGGACAAGGAGGGCGACGTCCAGATGTCCGACGCGTCCGCGCCCGCCGCCTCTTCCTCGACCGCCGAGCCTACAGCTGAGGCTGAGGCCGCGGAAGGCGACAAGGGCAAGGCCGTCGCCGGAGCGGAGCTCGAGGACGAGAGCGTGTACCGCGCGAAGGAGGGTGCCGAGCTGGACGCGCTCGTCCCCGCAGACATCAAGGCCGACATCGGGAGCAGCACCACCGGCCAGTACGAGCTCGTCGCGATCGTCACGCACAAGGGCGCGGAGGCGGACGCGGGGCACTACATCGGTTTCGTGAAGAAGAGCGCGCTGCCGGCGGCGAACGCGGGCGCGGGCGCGGGGGTGCTGGACGAGGACGACGAGGACTGGTACAAGTTCGACGACGACAAGGTCTCGATCTTCCCCGCGGAGAAGCTGGAGACGCTGTCTGGAGGCGGGCAGGACGCGTCCGCGTACGTGCTGCTGTACAGGACGCGCCCGTTGGTGTAACGTGGTTGTTGGAAGATCCCCCGGGGAAATGGATGTATGGAATCAATAGCATAGTCCGATGATGCAACTTCTTGTGCAATGATGCGGGGTGTGCTATTGGAGTAAGAAACAACAGTAAGTACTGGCACATCCACGGCTGAACGGGGCACGTCAGAGGTGCCTCCTCCTCCCCTTGAGCACTCCTCCCATACTAACGCGTAGACGACTGAGATATGAGAGTACTGTTGTTGCGCTCCTTCTGAACTGATTCTGAGGACAGATCAATCCCGGCCTCTTCGGCCCGGGAGAGCGCCGCCAGCCTGTCCGTCGGCATCATCTCTGCCTTCCTCCTTGCCCCCTTTGTTTGACGATATCCTAGGTAACAGACTTGCGCCGTTCCTCTGCCACTTTCCCGGCCTGATTCACTTTGACATCGATAGAGTGAATTCGCAGTCGAGAGTATTCGACCCTTCAAGTTGTCATGGATGATGGAGTCTGAGACTCTGAGTCCTCTCCGACTGGGAGGTTACTAGCAGGTACACGTCCTCAATCTCAATGTCCCACTCGCAGTGTGAGCCACGGTTGAACGTTGAACGTTAACTGTCCCCTCCGCCATCAGGCAGCTCGCTTCAATCGCTCGGTCATCCAGAGAACCCCCTTCCCCCGCCTCCCCCAATCCATCGGACGGTATGTTTGATCCTCGACCAGTGTCACTAGTCACGAGTTTGAACTGCGTACTACCGGTGAGCACCTCTCCTACATACCTATCAAGCGCAGAACCAACTAACCAAGTACTGAGCTACCGCTGTGACCGACTAGAGAGCGTGCTTGCCGCATACCGGCAAGCCGTAGCAAGGGTGGCTAATGACAGGTCCTCTCAGCTCTGAGGTGACAGTGAGCCACAAGACCCAGATCAGTCGGCGGGTGGCGGGCCGACTCGCAATATGCGAGCAACG